CACATAAGACATGGACAGTCTCGCAATCGTCACCACTATCTCTGCATACGCTTTGTAGTTTGAGGCAGTTCTAGATGAAAGAGGAGAGAATCAAAGTACCCTTTCACCAGTAGGTCAGAGACGTCATGCTCAAAACGTGCATGACGTCCCTCACATCTGCTACAAGCTAAGTTGAAAAGTAAACAAGAAGCTGTAGCGTCCATTGATGGAAAAAAAAAGAGATCGGTTCACCTCTCCTGTCAATCCTGTCACGTAAATCCGCTTCAATACAAAGCGCCGACTCTCAGTTCCAAATCAGCTCCACGCCGATGGTCCGCTCTCCTCAGCTCCAGCAGCCATCCATCCAGCCGCCCCAAAGCAGACTGTCCAACAACGTCGACATCTCCGCTAAACAAAACGAGGCCGTGAAAAAATGCTGCCCATTACATGTGCAAAAAACAGGCGACATTCAAATAGCACCGACATTCCCCCCCCATCAAAATCAGTGCTGGCACACGCGCGCTGCAGAGAAGGTGCAACCATCAAGCACAGATTCGTCTCCTTTGAGGAATGTCGTGGCCAAAACGCTGAACAGCACACGATGACAAAACAAAAGGCCAAAACAACAACAAAAAAAGCAGAGCTCTTGCAGATGGCTACCATCGACGGCGCCATCTTCAAAGGGCAATGCCTGATAATGAACAGGAAGTCCGCCATCTTGTCGGGAATTTGGCCATTTCCAGGCATCATAAACTCCTCGTGTACAGTCGAGCTGATCATAACATTTGAATGACGTTTTCCCGTGATTGTTGCTATTATTGTAGTTGAACCACAGCGTAATTGCAGTTCCGCTCAAGAACTGTGCACGCCACACCACAAAGTTTGTGTCTGTATCTGTACCTCCAGGCTGCTGAATTCCGAGTCGACCACAAGAAGGGAGGCATGCGCCCGGTGGATTTCCACGTGCCTCATTCTACAAGAGGCATGCATGAGGCACGATCAGTCTCCGTTTTGGCCTGCGACGCCATGCGTCATCCCGCGGCTGCATCACTTCCTCTTGCCTTGGGGTTGGGGAAAAACAAGTTCCGCTGGGCCTGGGAGTGAAGTAACGGCTGACTCACACTTCAAGCTAATCAATTTGTTTCATTCAAAAGGTTTGCGCCTCAGTGCCATCCAGTGGTGGCGGTGAAGTCTGAAGACCTCATGAGAAAGCTGCATTTCATTCACCACATAGAAGACAATGATTTCAACTGACCTCTGGATGAAATATGTCGAATCAGCAAATCTGCGTACCCACTTAGAAGAGATTAACCCGCCACGCCCCAAAAACAGGAGAGCATTAAAGTTAGATTCACTGAAAAGCAGTAAATCAAAAATACAAAGATCTTTTTTCTGGGTTGCTGAAGACTTCCCTTGATTTAGACATATTATAGGTTGGTCACAGAAAACCCCCAAAGTCTGTCTAATCCAATCCACTGCCATCTAGCATCAGTAATCATGCATGAAATGAACACCAATATCGAGCAGAAGAAGCTTTGCAGTTGAATCTACAAAGCCGGTCGATTTCCGAGTTGCTCTAATTTTATTGATATAATAAATCATGTTAACTGGACTAGGCTTATAATGCCACCAGTAGATTTTTCAAAAAACATTCCGAGGTGTCACTGAGACCGTAACCCACTGTATCATCAAAGTAAATGTCACTAAGACAAAGTAAAAAGAGTCACCCTTTAGTTATGGGTCTGATTTGCAGTCATGCCTGATGCGATACTGCGATGATAAATGATTTACTGGAAAAAAAAAACATGTATGAAAGACAGTACAGTACAAAATGTTACAAAAGATGAATGAAAAGACATGAAATAAATTCCATTTCCAATTCTACTTACAAGAAAAGTCTGGCAACTGGGGGCTCTGCCAAAGGTGTTGTGACAATAATAAATTTTTTTTTGCCATATTTAGCGACATTCCTGACCTCCTAAACTTTATTTTTTTTACCCCAAAAACCTACATGCAACAAAGTTAGATTTTCTTTTTGTGGTGTAATTGAAGACTCCTTCCAGAGAAGGCGATGACAACATCTCAAAGTGAAGACTACAAATGAACGGTGTTTGCAATTTTGCCATTTTCATAAATAGGCAGGTCGACATTTAAAATGGACTTGGTTATTTTTGTTACACTTCATGGGTGAGCGGGTACTCCAGAAATGCAGCAATTTTCAAAGCCATTTATGAACCTGGAGGTTCCACTAATCTATTATGGCTAGAATTAAAAAAAAAAAAAATTAAACATTATACTGTATGCTGGAATTCTATGGTACTAAGATGATGTAGAACAAAATTAGCTTCCGACTCAGGTAGTAGTGTTGTTGTTGTTTGTTTGTTTTTCAGAATACTGTATGATCGGCTGCAAGCTTCAATACTCAATAGGGAATTTTCATGACCCCCCCCAATAAAACAGAAATTGGACACTGCAACACAAGGATGGGTTGAGTATGATCATTATCAAACACATTTTATTCAGCTGCCGCGCACACACACACACACACACACACACATTCACTACTTTTAGAAAAAACACTTCATTAAGTTGATAAAATCTACTACGTGAGCCAGTCAGTCTAGGCTACTAAATCTATCCAGAAATTGCTAATTACCGTAAGAGGGCTGCAATTTCTATTCGATCAGATGAAGTACGTAATGATTGACACGAATCATTAAAGATGGCATCCGAGTGCCAACATTTGCCTCGTCAGAGGTATTATACGGCTCCATAAACACATAATATGTGCAGATTGAGAGCACGCTTGTAGCCGCTGAGACCTTCAAGAGTGCAAACTATTACAGCGCCTGATGTACTTTCTGTCGAGGTGACATCATTTTTTTTTTTTTTTACTCGTGTCATTCTTTGATGAACACCTCATGATCATGCGGTAGTAAACAGGACAAGCTCGTTTAATCATAGGATTCTCCCGTTAGCAGGTACATTAAAATGTACGGCGGACAACTTGTAAATGTACCACTAGCACTAATGATGTTTTTTTTTTTTTTTTTTTAAGTAAACACATCTGTGTTAGTTTTATAGAGCTCATAATTATTTCTTAAGCGGGATGCATGCATACTGATCAAGGTACGCAAAGGGCTGATGAGTGGATGTCTCTAAAAGATTATCCTGAGCAATTTCCTGTGGTGTAGATTGATTCTTCCTCTTGCTCAGAAAACGGTCGCGGGGACAATAATCGGAGACGTTAAACCCGTTCAACATTCATGATTGCAAAACCTTATCAACATCAGCATGTCTCAGGTCATTCATCACAGGGAAAAAAAATGACAGGAAGATTTTGAAGCCACAATGTAGTTATGAGACAAGCTAACAGTTAGCCTAGCATCATCAATTCCTTCTTGGTGCTTTTTTTTTTTGCAGCAGTCCGGACTCTGTGGCACCATGCTGCCTCTCGCATTCGCAGGTTAGTCTTGGTATGACAGCAGATAGCGTGACCTGTGTTTTGTTATATAAGCGCAATAAGGACACACGCGGCGATTTTTTTTTTTGTTTTTGTCTGCGCGTGTGTTTGCACACTGCAATCGAACTATTAGAACATTGGTGGATTCTGATATATAAGCTATCTGAAGTCAAAGATAGAATTGTATCAAATGTTGAGGAAAAAGTATCGGAAAAAACAAATTCTGATCCACAAGCACCAGGTGTGCTCCTGGAAGAACATCAAGCACAAAAAAAAATTGGGTTGACAAATGAAAAAGATTGAAAGATATGTAAGCGTTGCTGCACAATGTGTTTGTTTCTATCTAAAATCGTTTTGGTAATTTAATCGACTTTATATCTGCAGAAAACTGAACCGTAACTTTGGTGCCTCACCGACCTAAAAACGCACAAACTGTACAGGCATGTATAAAATCTAAAGCAACAAAAATAAGTAATTCACAGAAAATTGGGACACATATAAGTTCAGGGCAAAGACATTTAAAGGCACACTCTGCAATATTTCCGACTGCATGATCATTATTGCGTTTGACAAGAACGTGCAGCGTTGTGAAAATGAGGAGCTTCTGCAGTCAGTCTTGGGCGTAACGCGCGAGCAAAGTGAGATGCCAATCTCAGCATGCACGCAATTAAACATCTCGGAGCACCTGAATGTAGTAAATGTGACATCTGCGGGTGCTTTGCGTTTTATAGCTACTGTTGTAGCATTTACACCCTTTTGTGCAGACTTTAAACTATTAAGCTTTTGTTGTCTTATAAAATGTTTCCAAAAAGAGAAAGTCACATGCGATTCAGGTTGTGGTTTGAAAAATAAAAAATAAAAAAAATAACGTTAATGCTACACTGCGGTATGCATTTGAACTCGGTGACTAACCAAAACAGCAGCACCCAGCGAGACATATCAACAGTTGTTCAGATGAAGCTTCGAAACAAATATAGTCATACGTTTTCGACCATAATCCGTTCCAGAAGGCTGTTCGAAAACCGAAACCACACTCTTTAAAAAAAAAAAAAACAGTCATTATTGAACACGTCTGCTCACAATGGAACGCTACCCGAGGAAGTGCCACTTCCTCGTGTAAGGAAGGCGAGAGGAGTCAAGTGGCGCATTCAAGTGCGCTCAGTTTGGTCGAAAACCGATTTGGTCGAGAACAGAGACGTTCGAAAACCGAGGTTTGACTGTACAGGGTAGTTTGTTCCGCAGGTTTAGCTTACGCTGAGTATAACGATTTGTGTCCTGGTGTCCGGACCTTGTTGGTGTGCCTTTCCATGTAACGATTTTGTTTTGAACTGCGGTTTCACTTGACTGGTACCATTTTTTAAATATTATTCGAACACGACAGTTGTACAGTTAAACTCTCTCTGCCTGTTTGCATTTGAGTGAATAAAACACACACACTGCCTCTAATTTTGGAGTAGCTTGTGATTGCTGGTTATTTAAATGTTTTATTTTGATAAAAAAAAAAGAAGGAATGAAAAGCTGTGAGCAGAGCCTCCCGAAATAAAACAAAGAGCCAGCCTTGAACACGTCCAATGTTTTGTGTCATGAACTCAATGTATTTGCTGCAAGTGTAAAACGGGCAGGTGTCCTGCGTGTTATCGAAGCGGCACGTCTGCAGGTCTGTACTGGCCGCGCTCTCGCTTTGCTGCGCTACAGGTGGTGCAGGCTGACAAGATGGGCTCCTTTCTGCATTTGGCGAAACCACTCTTCCGCCAAACGTGCCCCCAGTGAAAGAGTGTTGCCACACGTCCGAGTCATACGCTATTGGCGGCGTCGACATGGAAAAGAAGGCTAAGTAGAAAATTTGCCGACTGTGCCTTTAAATCACCCGATGGATGCAAAAAAGAGAGAAATGCATTTTAAGTGCGGAGTCGTCTACTTCTTCTCCATCTTCAGCGTCGTCACAAAACCCCACAGGTCCTTGACTACCTGTGGTAGACACGGAAGAAGGGGAGAAACATCCAAGCGTGAGAGACATGACTCACTTTTCCGAACATGTTTTCGTGCGTCTCGGAGGTGGGACTTGAGAGCGGGGCTGTTGGGGAGAGACGAGGGTTTGGGTGGGGGCAGTAGTACATACCAGAGTAGATATGAGTAGGTGCTTCGGGTCTGACAAATCTCAGCCCGGGCTGATGAAACCGCACAGCATTTCCACAGATGTTTCTCCACACGGCGAGATCAACAGCTACGGTCGGGCCCTCGCGACACGTAAAAGGGCTTTTCACCTGCTCTCTATACTGCGCGGCCAACATTTTCCAACTAAACTCCACCCACCCGCAATGGCGAAGACGGAAGTTAGCGGCGCCCCTATGTTTAGTATGCGTGGCTCTAACTTTGGAGGACACGTTCGTTTTTGAAGTCGGCCAAAACGGACATTTCCAACCAAAATGGCTACCTTCCAATGTGTGTTTCGTGTTTAATGCCGAGTCATGAAACTTTAATGCAGTGCTTCACCCACACACTTTTTAAAAAAGCTTATTAGCATCATGTACGGAGTACACAGAGATGCAATTAGATTCGAGTCCAGGGAGATACAGATTTTTAAGCGTGCACTTAAACCGCTAGATGGCGCCAAGTTAACTTCACAACATCCAGCCACTATCATTTCACATTGGCTTCCCTGCTGTGGTCGGGCAATATCAGTTGGCGGCAGTAATGCGCTGCTACGCGGGTTTGCCAACCGCCAGAAGACCCCACGGGAGAAGGAACGTCAAATGTGTTTGCGATCGGACAAGCCATGAATGTTGCTGCCATAATCGAATCACGTGCAATGAGGGGAAACTCAAATATTTCTCAACTTTGTGCAAACCATTTCTCAAGCGCACCTGAAGGAAATCTCGATAGACAAGCTAATTTCCGAAGCACGTGCCCAGCATGGCCCTAAAATGGCCACTTTAAACTGTAATCATTGATTTCCTGGCATTTTCATCTGAAGGGAAACTGGCTTTGGGGGCGGGATTCTCGAGTTGGGAGTCTTTTGAGTAGGGGAAAGCCCTCAAATCGGCAATTATTTTTTTTCTCTGAAGAATAACAACACTGAAACGAAGCAATTTTAACCCCGTAAATAATACATGTCCAGACAGCGCTGAACACATGATTGTACTATCTGACACTCCGCAGAAGTCTTAGAAGCTTCTTTGAGTGATTCATTTGTGCACCAGCAAATAAAAGGAAATGGGCTGTTGTTTTTCCACTAAAATGACAAGAAAGCAGTGGAAAGATTTAGTTCCTGCACTGAGCTGGTCGAAGGCCGTGAATGTGAATGTGAGACTGGTACCATCCACATACCACCAGTCCCTTCATTAAGGCTACAAAAGACACACACTCGACTAAATCACTGGGAAAGAGTTGGTCTTGGCAGGTGTACTCCCATTCTGCCTCAACACGGGCCGGCCCGCCCACTGACACAAAATTGATATAATTCAAAGAGAACACGGTGTCCTGGAGAGGTGTGTGTGCGTGTGCGTGTGTGTGTGTGCGTGTGTGTGTGTGTGTGTGTGCGCGTGCGTGCGTGTGTGTGTGCGTGTGTGTGTGTGCGCGCGTGTGCATGCGCGTGCGTGTGAGGCCGACTGGAGAGCATAATGTATGTCAACCGTGTGAAGAACAATGGCGCATTCCTGTGAATCCATCTTGGCAAAGAGCTCTTGAGGCTTAAAATGAAGCAAAAGAGCTCTTGACCCTGCAACTGCCAAGAGCCCGAGCAAGGCGGCCAGCTACCAATGTTGATGCAGCAGGACCTCGAATGGCGCACGGGTCGCGCGATTCAAAACCTTTCCTTGAAAACTACGGCTTCCCGCCAATGTCAGGCTGGAGGAGAAACAAGACATCAGCCTATCTCGTGGGACTTGAGCGTGAGTATATCGAAAACAGGGCTTCTCAAACTTTTTTTGGGCGCAGGGATCCCTCGCGGGGGTGATTTCTTTATTTTGGCCAAGGACCCCCTCGCAATCCTAAAGCCAATTAAACAGAACTTCCATGTGGACTCCAAAGTGCCATCTTTTTTTTAAACAGTTGAACATATGAATGGCCTGTTTAATGGGGAGCAACTTGAATAACTAAATAACATACACAGCGTAGTTTTTCCAATGGTAGAATTAATTCAATTGAATTGAATACAACTTTATTGTCAAATGTGCTGTACGTATGTGTAACATACAGCACAGATGAAATTTCTTCCCTCTCAACATAAAGTATAAATAAAGTGGATATCGGGTCCCACACCCTTGATCAAATGAGGGCCCTCTGAACATCGTCCGATAGGCCAAATGGCCAATGTTTTCCGACTGTTTTTACCTTTCCGTACTCTATCCGTTTACTGTAATTTCCGGATTATAAAACGCGACTTTTGTTACACGCTTTCAACTCTGCGGCTTATTTAATGAAGCAGCCTATTTAAAAGATTTTTCTAACGGCCTCCTGTGTCTCGTCTTTCTATGTAAACACCCCAAGTTACAATGTGGGCACCTGCGGCTTATAGACAGGTGCGGCCTATGTCTACACAAAATGTTTTTTCCTTTAAAAATGTCGTGGGTGCGGTTTACAATCAGGTGCGTTCTATAGTCCAGAAATTACATGACAGCAGTTGGCCGCATGTAAATCAAACCTTGCAGTACAAGCCATTTGCCTGCAGGGATCTTCGATCGCATGAGATCGACTGTATCAGTCAGGGCAAGGGTACAAGTGGAGTCATTTTATATCCACTGTACAATCATGTTAATCTGATGGATATAAAAGTCATCCTCAGAGGTTGACATATGTGTAGAGAGCGGCCAGTAAACAACTCTTGGGGCTACGCATCGATCACAAGAACAAATAATACACAACACATGGTGCGAGGCGAAGGAGAAGAAGATGAAAAAAAAGGGGAGGCTTTCAAGGTAAGAGCTGTCTGAGCTGGCTTTGGGATCTAAACCCCATGTGTGATCAGTAGAGACATCACCCAAAAATAAATCTAAGGCGTCACAGTCACTTACTTTTTTGTCGGAGATTTTAAAGGAACTCTTGACAAAGTTCTCAAACTTCTGCTCCGTCTTGGGCAGCGGTCTCCCCTGTTGCCAGAAGACAGTCAATCATGGAGTCGGCCAGGCGGCAGATACCCAATTAAGAACGGCAATCGGCGAGGATGAGAACGGCGGGCCGTACCTCTTTGGCCGCCGTCGACAACTTGCTCTTTATCTCGGCCAAAGACGGAGATTTAGACGGGCCGGCCTGCGCTTTGTCTCTTCCTGGAACAGGTGTCTGGAAAAATATATTGTCCAGATAAGACAGGCTGATTGGGGTGTCAAATGGAGATTTACGGGGCTGGAGATTCAAAAGATTACATATTCGAGCAATATTTCTTCTTGAATACCATCTGACCGGCTTATGGTGTATAAAATGGAGGCTTTCTTAAGTGGATTGAGTGGTGATGGATTGATATTGTGAGCATCGCGGGGAAAGCTTCGGCCCCAATCGTGACCTATTTAGTCTGGCCCGTGTTTATAGCCTTGGCACGAGTAAGCAGCTGGACAGAGATAAAAGAATGACAAGGGACGACAAAATGTACCCGAATGACAACATCTTATTTTTAATACATCAGGTACAAATTATTACTCGCGGGCCGGGGAGGGCGAGGCGAGCCTTGGTCGTTCCAGTTGATGAAATTTCCATTAATGGCAAATCCGCAGAAATGAAAGACACGTGCCAACAGGCAACATGTGTGGTTAAGTCTGCCCTTTTCCTTTTGAAGAGATGCCTTTCTTTCCGTTCAATACCTTGAATCTTTGGTGAGCTCATAGACACAATTACAAGGAATGAAGGCTGCGGCGATGTCAGTCCAACAAGTGCGTCCAGAGTGTGTCTGAACGTGACATACGCTACACGCGCACACACACACACACACACACACACACACACACACAAACGGCATACTGGATTTGAGTGGATGTTACACAAGCCAACGAGCTTGTCCCTGCTTGCAACGGCAGTGTGGAATCCGACGAAATTGCAGGGTTTCATCGATAGCCAGTGACGAGTTTGAAAGAAGCAAGAAGAGACTCATGGAAGGGGACTAGGCACGGACGGCAAGCACAGCCTAGGCCGATCACGCTGTCTTTTGGTTTCTGTTTGTGTCGATTCGGAAAGCTGTGCGCTGCGGGAAGGTACAAGTGAGATCATGGTGACAGACACTCAATATGTATGCCAAAAGATTTTTTTTTGGGAGTCGACTGTGATGTGATGAGAGTCAAGGCAAAGTCGATGATTCGATGATGTCATTATAAACTGTCTCGATAGAACACCAGGATCTTGCTTTGATATTTTTAATGAGAAAGTAGCTGACATGCTCAGCTCTTCAAATGCAAAAATAATTGAGAATATTTGGTGATGATCTAAATGTTGATCTATTAAATTGAAATGGCCACCAGCAAACAAGTGACTTCATGCACATAATGCATAGCAATTGTCTTTTTCCAGTAATTATAAAACCTAGTCGAAGAACAGTCCAACCAGCCACATTATTAGAAAACATTTACAAATAAAACCAATGATGAAATAGAAAGTGGTCTTCTTATAAACATACATGGCAATGGCGAGTGATGAAAAAAGCGGAAGGGGCGTGGCCTGGACGGGGGCGTGGCCTGGACGGGGGCGTGGTTACTTACAAAAGTTTAGATTAGATTAGATTAGATATCCTTTAAAGTGGCACTAAACATGCTGAAGATGAAGTGTATTAAGGAGATCTTTCATAGCAACCTTATAGCGGACATATCATTTCAGAAACGGAACATCAGTGGGAGTAATTATTAATCCTGGAAAGCACCGTACGTTCCTCTTTCATTTTTGATCTTTGGGCAAAAAGTGAAACACCGAGGTGGATACCAGGTCGGCGCACCAAAAGGGTGGGGGCATCCTGCTTTTTGGCTTCTTTGCGCTCATGAATGGAAGCTTTTAACTCCAAACCGCACGTGAGCGACAGAAAGTGAAAGAATGTCGGGCTGCTTAATGACGGCACAGGAGGGGCGTCAGTGGAGCAGATTTCGTTGCTTGGTTCAGCCAAAGTAAGTACCCCAGCGCGTAACGTCTTTAGTTGTATCCGCTGACGAAGTTTGTTTGAAAAATGCCGATCCCAAAGAATAATTGCTCCGTCGAATGGCGATTTTGTCGGCATGTTTTTTCACTTTTGTTGCATGATCTGTCAGTGCCACGCATCCACGTTAATTAAGTCACTACAGTACACACAATAATCTTTGCCTGCTACGTCTGGTTTCTTCAAAAATTGTCCAAGAGCTTCTGTAACTTCGTCGAACTTGGAACCAATTTTAACCTTTACAGTGACTTTTCTGTCAAGCCAGTCCAATCGGAATTTATTCTTGACGTTTGAGTCAATTTCTAGGATTAAAGACTCCTGATCTTTCGTCAAAATTTTCATAATTCCGCTCAAAACGATCCCAGAACAATGAATTTGCGAGACGAACAGGCCGCCATGAATCAGGTAAAGCAATATGTTACATGCAATTTGATTGGTCCAATCGCTTGTAGTTAACCAATCGCTGGGCCGTTTATAATCGAGCTAAGACTTCCGCAACAAATAATGCCTTCAGTGATCTGATTAGTTGAAGCTTTCATACACGTCCAATCGCAGGGCTGTTTACAAACGGAAAACGGAGAGACTGTTCGGGAGAGCTCGTGAAAACTCAACGATAAGGTACCTGACCGCCCCTAAAATTTTCTCAACGGATTTAGACGATTCACAAAAATCAATTTAAGAAATAAAACGGCGGATTTCCGCGGATCCGCGGAAAATTGCCATGTATGTATAAATGACATCAGTGATCACTTGCCTGTCTTTGCAATTATTCGAAATGATTTCCAGTTTTAAAAATCTAAACAAATAATTCATACATCAGAAATGAGATCAAGAACAACTCAGAGAGTATGTTTCCTGTTTTGAAGTGCTATTGGGCTTTGCTTGAGAAGAAAATTCTCCCTGATTGGCTTTAATGGTGCTGTCTTGCTCGGTCCAAGACATTTTTCTGTCATTGTTGGAGCCAAAGCTGAGAAGGCAAACACCTGATTTCATTCTCATCCCACTTGACAGCACGTGGACGGTCTGGAGAAATATGCTGAATTTGATCAAAGTGTGCAGGAGAGCAACCGGTGCTTAAAAGGGAGACACAATGTCAGATCTTGGTTCTTCTGAACGTTACGGTGTAAAACACGTCATTTGTCCAAGACAAGCAACGTCTCTCTTTTGAGATTTAAGACAAATCATTTGACAACGTTGGAAACCTGGACAATTCTCAGGGATATGTTTCGTGATTCTACTTTTAAGATTAGTCCATGTTTCAAAAAAATACTGTCATCTGTCCCCATGTCCGTGAGACCAGTATTTTACGGCGCACATCAAAAGGTCGAAATAAAAAGAAAAACTTGGCGCACACGCACCGCGCTACAGACAAAGAGCACATATGCTGCTGGCTGCTGGCCAGCCAAATCCACTACATTTATTATTTACAGGCAGCTCTCCGCACAAGCCAGCACCACAGGCCAGCTGCGGACCTGAAACAGCTGATAAACACACCAGCTTTTTCATCTGGCCCAGACGCTGATTACAGATGCCACAAGACATGGAACTTAATCACAAGCACACTCTCATTTGACGCAATCTGTCGTCTTCAATCCAAAGCAAACACATGTTTTTGCAACACCTTTGCTCATCAAGTTTGCCTGGGGGGCGGTGGAGGGGGGTGGGGGGCTTCTCGACGATGAGAGCTCCGCAAAGCCACAACGTCTTGAAGAGATCTGGCTCAACGTGACCAAGTAACCACAATCACTGGTAAGTAGTGTGTTAAGTCAACCCTGGCTCTCTTAATCTAGCTGTGAGCATGTTCGCGTAGACTTCAATCAACAAGAACAGCCCGCAATCCTTCACAAATACGAGGCTAAAAGCGACTGAAGCAAGACGCGAGGCAAAGCTGGTATTCAATAGCTGTTAACACAGAATACAACCCATTCCGGGACACCAGTCGGAGGTTGTTCTGATTTCCAACCAAATTTTTCCAATGGGAATTAACCATTTCAGGGACAGCGGTTACGACAGTGGACACAGCTTATTGTGTTATCAGGTTACAGGGTGCATGAATTAAAACCTCAATGAACCACACAAGCAATTCAGCATTTTGCATTGTATATTAGAAAAGGCCAAAGAAAACGCAAAACAGTCATACAGTACTTTGGATGCTTGCTGAACTCAGATCGCATGTGATTGGCTGGCAGTTGGCAATGAACAGCTCGCCACTTCAGAGGCATATTTTTGGCTAAAAATGTTGATCGAAGTCCGAATAGTACGATATCGCCGGCACTCTAGAGTACTTCAGAGGTTCCGCTCTACCGGTTTTCATTAATTCCTTCATGGTCCCAATCATGAGGGCGAGGATTGCAGCTACCAAATATTTGCTTGAATTGAGCATGTAATCGGGTCGAGTATTTGGGTAATCTGATAAAAAAAAAAAAAAAAATGATATTGCATTACTAAACGCATTAATATGAATGCAAGGTGCATGTATGTTTTTTTATTCGTACATCTACGTGGCTGAGTGTGTATGGCTTCAAAAAGTGGTGCCTGGCCTGGTGAATGACAGTGCAGAGTTTGCTTGCTGATAACTGCGTGTTAAGCGACTACGTGAGAGTTGTGGCAGGAGGGAAACTCGTAGATGAACTGATTATGTTTGTTTTCTGACCATTTGTTCAAGAAAGAGTTTTAAGGCAGAGATTTTGCTTCAACCCTTCGAATTATTCATTTAACACTTTCATGCACCCAGTAACCTGCTAACATGGTAAGCCGTCCACTGTAGTAACCGCTGTCCCTCAAAGGGTTATTTATGGCACGGACAAAGCAAATGAATTTCACACACAGGTTAGCGATCTCATCAGCGCCCATATCTGCTTTGTTGAACACGTTAAGGTGTGGAGTACAACTGTCGCATGAAACTTAGGGATCCCGGAATAGAGATATCTTTTACAAATGCTGCTTGCAGTGCAGGTGTCGACTCGTCCTTCTGTCATAATGATGTCATGCAATGTTTCTGGATACTGGGTCATGTATGTCACTCAATGGGTTGGTCTTTTTGAAGTTTCTCATGCACATTAGTTCCAATCTGACGAGTCATACCCACATTACAAAAAAAAAAAAAATCCTTACACTTAATGCTATCCAGATAGGCACCTGTTTTAACACATGTCAATCAGCTGCTAAAAACAATGACTCATCCTCTGGGATAAGTCTGAGCAAAGTGGTTAACAACTTTACAACTCTGACGTCTGCTTTAAGGCATAACTTCTCCAAACTCATCAATCTAAGGAAAACCAGCTGGAAGATAAATGGACTTCGGATCGGCGCGACTTTGTTGATTCTCATGACAAGCCCCGGTTACGCAAGAAGGTGCAGCGACATGCTGGGCTGCGAGAGGTGAGAACTGCAGTACTGGCAGCAGATCTGACGAGGCAATCTAATGACCAGTCACCTGCGTTTAGGAGAGAAAAAACAGACATCCACGCCCTCTTCCTCGCTCCTCGGGGGCATCTGGAAGCGCAAGCTGCACCAGACATCAAACGCTGGTAATGAGAGCAATTGGGAGAAGGTGTGTCCAGGAAGCGAGGGGTGTGAAGAGGTTGTCAAGAGGGAACAGTTGCTGGGTACAAGACAGGCGACGGAAACAGGCCAAGCTCCACGGGCCACAAATTCAAACCGGTCGGACGGTATCGCCAGAGGATTTAAAAAAAGAAAAAAAAAGGGGGATTCAAATGTGTGGTGCTACAATATGTCTCGAACATCATTATGAATTGAACGCTGTCCAAAACATGGACGCCCCATTTTCGTAAACATTTTTTTTTTTTTAACAAGCACAAAAATGGACACTGGTGTTTTTCACAGGACAGCGACGACATGTCATCTGTTGTCCATTCCCTCACCCGATGAGGACAGAGAAGGAATTGGTTCGATTAGCGGTCGCGATAACGGAAGCGGAATCACAATTGTCATCCCAATGACAAAAAAACAGTCACCCATGTGTCCGGTATGTACCATTCAAATTTGGAAACAAGTGGGCCAAGTCTCTCGCCACTGCAGTTCTGAAGTTCCTGCTGTGCAAAAGCCCCCTTTTCCTCACCTCGGGAGTTATGTTCTCAGTGTCTCACAAATCACAACCTTTCCAGGGGTCAGATAAGCAGCAATTGAACCGGGTGTATTGTCTTTGTGGTGAACCGCCTTATCTTTGTTCCTGTCAAAGCCATTTGATCAAATACTATGCGAAACATGTGGAGAAGCCGGCCAATTTGTATTCCCCTGGTGTTGCATGTTGCCGTGTGGGCTGGCGGGGGGCATCAAAAGGTGGCTGCAACCCAAGACGGCGGGGTCGGGACACAGGGTCACGGGTTTAAACCTTGCCCCAGGAAACCATTTTAGAGGTCAGGTGTGTTTGCTTAAGAGAGAGGTAGAGTTTAAGATTTGGGCTTTGAGAGGCAGCCGCCCAAGACATTCCACCATAGAAATTTAGCATCAGGTAGAGCTAATTACAATGCGCTCATCGCATTCCACTGCACAAGGAAGGCATAACTGATTTGGATTCAGTCTATTTGGAGGCACTTAATGTTAATGGAAGCAGATCAGCAGTCATTGAGAAATGGTGGTGACGGCAATCAGTTTACAGAGAATATCAACATGTCTTTCAGCTGCTATGATGGCATGAATTTTTGTTCATTCAGTTCATGCTGTTTCATCAGTCAAAGCTGTAACACGGTAGTACTCATCTTTTAGTTGTGCCACTTGAAATGGCAGAGGCTCAAATAAACAAGACTTTGTACCTTAACCTGTGGTTTAATCCCCGATCCTGATGGTTTCGACGCAGGGCCATTTTGTTTCATCGGACTTTTGTTGGCCTTCTTCGATATTTCCGGGCCCTATGGAGTAGGAAAAGAATAAAATAAAATCATTATTAACACGAACCTGATGGGACAAAACATGAACTGAAGGATGTAGAATGCGAGTTCAATTCATCAAACTAAAATGTGTGCATTAAAAAGACAAAACTGAACTAAGGAAATTTAATTCTTATTGAGAATTCTTCAAAAAGAAAAACTGGAGAGACAACACAAATTAGTGCAACTTCCCATAAATCACCACCTCAGCTGTCTCCTTACATGCCGCAGGCCTTCCAATTACATTTCTATTGATAGAATTCACCTGCGCGATTATCTAATAACCCACATTTCCTGAACACCAACCCTTTACTCGCCTCGGAGCGGGTTGCAAGTGTAATTGCCCGTGTTGACATAACGACTACAAGACCATTATGCGTGTCATTTCCTGAAGCGATACCTCTGGAAAGACCGAGTGATGGCATTTACGAGACGTTTTGAACATGACGAGATGAGAACCGCGGAAAACACTTCAGTCATGACAAGAGACCTGTCAAGTTTCAATATTGAAGAGGGAACAACCCATCCTGGAAATGAGGCGCGGTTCAGTCAAAAAGATTCGAACACAGCCAAAATGGTAAAGGTGGAAATCTTCTAATTCATAAAACTTAACATAGTGCAACGTTTAGCATCAGTACCGTATTTTCCACACTAAAATGAGCACTGGATTATGAGGCGCACCTTAAATGAATGGCCTATTTTGTATTTTTTTTCATACATTGGACGCAGTGGATTATAAGGCGCAATCTACAACGCATCCACTAGATGGAGCTACGCTCCTTCCATTCGACTCGAGAGGCGTTCATGACCGCCTATGAAAAACACAAATTCACGATTACTTCAATGAAACTACGAAAATTAAAAATAACGCATCAAAACAGAAAATCAAGCAAGGAAATCACAAAAAAAATTCTATAGCCCCCTATAGAATTTATTTTGGCATTTCCTTGAGCGCAGCTCCAACAGAAGGATCGGATGTCAGTAAAATGTAGGAGACTGGACTGTCTCAGAAGTGTTTTGTTATTTATTCCTTTGTTGTGTACTGTATTCACAAACGAGGACATCACAAAATAAATTCTGTAGGGGGGGTACAGAATTTATTTTGTGATTTCCTCGCTTGATTTTCTGTTTTGATGCATTATTTTAAATTTTCGTAGTTTCATTGAAGGAATCATTCATTTACGTTTTTCTGAGGCAGTCATGAACGCCTTTCGAGTCGAACGGAAGAAGAGAAGGCACGGAGACGGACAAAGACGTACCTGTATTTGTTGAGACTGTGTAAATCATTAACAAAGTGTGTGTCTGTGTTTTATGTTATGTGTTGTGTTTATTATTTTACTTCATGTTAACTGTTTTGTTAAGCGCTTTGTTACAGCTGCAGCTGTTGTGAAAGCGCTATATAAATCAGGATGTATTGTATTGTATTGTGTTTTAAAAAAACAACACCAAAGCTCTCCTTTTTTCAGAGCTGCAACAAAAACTTATTGAATAAAGCAGCGACACAGTTCACTGAACCAACAGCAAATTATAACATTGGTAAGCATGTCTCCAGCAAGGAGCCATCTTGGGGTCGACATATTACCATAATGGCCATACACAAGGCGCACCGGATTTTAAGGCGCGCTGTGAGCTTTTAAGAAAATGGAAGACTTTTCGGTGCGCCTTATAGTGCGGAAAATACGGTAGTTTGTTGTTGTGTAAACCTATTGAGCTTTTTACACTTTTGTAACCCGATTAGATATGCCTTATAGAAAAGCCAATTGCTAGCTAGCATGACTGGCAAACAAATTTCATCGCACACTTCGAGCTCAGTGAGCTTTAACTTCGAATGAGCATCTATTGAAAGACCTTTTTGTGTTGGGATGATAGGATATCATGCTTTCTTACGAAAAAAAAAGGGTAACAAATGCATTTTTAATAAGTATATTCGTATACAACTTGCTACAGCCATGACTGGCCCATGCCCGGAGACTAGCTAACTAGACTAGCTAAGTAACAGCAAGCCGCTAACCAGTCAACTCCACGCTCTCACTCGCTGACTCCCTCCCATCTTACTCACCAGGCCAAGCATCGACTTTTAAAGCCACACTCAAAAGTCACAGACAGTGTGGCGGGGTAGAGGGATGGCAACAATAATTCTTTCAGCTAACATGCAAATTCAATGTGATCCTGTTACTCAATTTTTCAATGGAACAATCTATAGAATTATACATTCTGTAAATTCTACTCAAAAAATATCCGAGCCTTACACTGACAACATTTTTTTCTGCCTAGTTTCTGGGTTGCTCTTATGTAAACTGCAGGTCCCTCAGTCATGCCCCTTGAGGAAATACTTGATGTATTTTATTGGATTGTTTTACATTTATGGCCTGGAAGTGTTTTTCACTCAAATATTTACTGTAATTATGCAAATTGTACTCTCGTTAGGTTAGGTTCATGTGTAATTGACAACAACAACAAAGGAAATTCAACAATACTTTTATTTTTTAAACGGCCAGAGGAAGACGTTCATTCAAATAATTGCGTATATTAACCCCCCAGAAACAAGAAAAATATGGTGAATTTGACCCGCTACAAATTATTTATTTTTAAATTTGATGAGCTGAATTTAAATTCATGACTCATTTGATCGTAGATTTATAAGGACAAAGTCTTATAAACTATGGATTATAAGAGCATATACAGACATAAATTCATCAATAAAAAAAGTACACATTTAATTAATGCAGCCATTACTCTGCAAACTACAGCGACGTCTTAGCAAATCAAATTTTGGATTAAAAAAAAAAAAGAAAAAAGTTGTTAAGTATACAGCATAAAGAAATAAAATAAGCCTTTTTCATAAAAATGAGACATACAGTCCAAACGAGTCCAAGTCAGGCCCACCCTGTACATTTTAAGGCCCCATTTATCAAATCAACGACCTCTCAGTCATTAAAACTGACCACTAAAATCATGCAAATGTGTCAACTTTTTTTAGGGCTTAACTCACTCTACGTTTGAAAAATATCAACATTTTCATGCAGTTTCACCAATCAAGCTATCTGGTCATTGACTTATATCTTCCAAGTGCTATCTATGGTCTCGTGGACAAACAACGTGAAGACATGGGCTTGGGTCATGGAGGAAGGAGTGGACAACAGAATAAATCAACAGGTGACAGACGCGCTCAGCTGTCATCCGACCCCGAGGCGAGGATCGGCGCTCATGTCGCAGGTATGCGCATCTGCCCTGCTTTGATCTCTCACCCTGGCACCACTTCTCTTTGGACCCGTGTGTTTTCGTCAAAGCGAGGAAAAATCACACGCAGAAATTGGGCTGGTACACACACACACACACACACACACACACGCACACACACACACACACACACACACACACACACACACACACACTTGAAAGCGATTGCAGAGACACGCAAAACACGTTCAAAGGCGAGGGCCAGGTGCAGGGCTGAAGTGGCACGAGAGATGAAAAAAACCAATCTTATTATTAACAGTGGGATGACAGAGGGACAAAGATATGTCGGCTTACACAAAAAAAAAAAAAAAAAGTTGTGCGTGTGCAAAGTAATCCTACAAGACATTACAAGTATAGAGTACAACCTGCAAAGTGCAACAATTTGGAGATCTCGGAAAAAATATGCAGCAAAAGTCAAACAAAACGTTGGAGTTGAAACCATCATGCATGGTGACAGCAAATCCCTTGAGACTCCAGCTCAGGAAGTGGAGAGTAAAAGTTGCATGCGCCAGTGCCCACCAGGATGTGCGAAGTAACAAGTGTTACGAAAATCTAGAATAAATTACACATTTACTCTCTTGTTTTTACATATGTGGCTTTATTTAGGTCGGGCAGGGTACGTCAACTGAGTCTGCATGTTGAAGGGGGTGCATCGCTTCTGATTTCTAGAAAAATAAGTAGAAGGGTTAAATACAAACATGTCGTCGATAAAATGCCATTTTAAAACTCAATGATTTTTTTTGAAAAGAGTGTTTTGCAGGGGGAACAAAGTACGTGCCAATCTTGAAGAGGAGGTATGCCTTTCAAAGATTGGAAAGTCTCAACTGTGCAATGTTTGGGAGTGTTCAGCCTTTCACCCCACCCCAAGTGTGGTTTAAATGAAAATGAAGGGGGGAAAAAAAAAGGTTATACTGTACATGACAAGTCATGTATCTAAAAACAGGGGCTTTTATGTTGCTGAAGGCTGAAAGACTCAACATTACTCCACCCAAGGTTATTTATAAAAGTAATAAATAAAAGGTCAAATATGATAAATTTGTGGAACTCAAAATGTTTTTTTTTTTTTTTTACATTTTTCGGAAACCTGTAGCTTAAAAAATATTTTCAATTAGACATGGGCAAAATGCGGCCCGGGGGCCATATTCGTCCGGCCCACGGGTTCCAGCTCTTCACTATGAGCCTGACATCAAAATAAAACATCAAATATGCTGTGCATTAGCTTTGAATGTTGTGCTTTTATTTTAGGTGCACACGTATGGATAGTAGTAAAAGCAAGTTAGCAAGCAAGAGTCTTGTGTCTGCAGTGTTGCCAATTTAGGAATGTTTTTGCAACACTATAATTTGCAACTTTTTCAACCTCTCAAAAATGACAACAGTGGTCCTAATATTAGCAATGTTTTGTTGAAAATGTGTATTTCCTAATCATATCAATGCACATAGAAATTTACTGAAACATGAAAATGTGTTTTTTCCAAATACATTAAAAATCATACAAAGATAATGTGAGCATGTTGGGCCCTCAGCAAGCGTTCCAGTTTCTCATGTTGTCCCTTTGCAAAATTAATTGCCCACCCCTGTATTAAATCATAATTAAAACAGTTATATATAAAAAAAAAAAAAACCTTTAAAGGAAAATAAATAAATAAAGCAGGCTTTGGGGGAAATGTCTAAAAATGTTGTGAACGGCTACTTTAAACAAAATTGTTTTTCCCCAAGTGAGAATTATAATGAATGTTTCCCCCCAAAAAAGTAAAATAAATAAAACTCAAACACAGGCTTTTAGCCATTTTTAGGTGTGGAGCTTACATTTTTTTTGTTTCCAAAATCACCTATTATGGGGGGAATTCAACTGGAAAGAGGTGCATGATTAAAAAAAATCCATGTTTTTTTTCCAAATGTGAGTAATAATTTAATACCTTAGAAATCAATCAGTGTTCAGTTTTGGAGATGTTCCGCTGCACATTGCTGGTATGAATTAATCAGCACTTTCTGCAAATTTCTGTGTCAAAATAATGCATCCATGTGTGCAAATGAGTGTGAGTAGAGTCATGAAATAGTGTGTTCCTGTTGGTGAGACAGTGAGAATCCCGTAGATTACAGAGGAGAAATCCGACCATAACGCCACGCGAAACCTGTGTTTTACTCAGCGAAAACAGGTGGGCGCAAGAGTGAACAGGATGAAAAAGGTCATGTTTTTTGCCTCGTACAATGGAGGCTGGGGGAAAAAAAAAAAGGTGGCCGGTCAGTGGGTGCAGGGGTGGTAGGCGCAGCTGGAGGCAAATGAAACATTGCCACAGGACACAAACAGTCTGTGGGAGTTTGAATGAAGCTGGAAACAAAAGGACTTGAGACAGAAGCAAGTTTCTGCCTCTGCTGACACCCAGTGGACAACTGAAAACTGTTTCCTGAAATTTTGTGATAACCATCATATAAAAATTGACTTAATAAAGTGTATGTGTATGTGTGTTTCTTATTTTGACATTTTTAGGAAACTTGTACCTTAAAACATATTTTCAATGAGACATGGGCAAAGTACGGCCCGGGGGCCAAATGCGGCCGGCCCACGGGATCAAGCCCTTCACTGTGAGCCTGACATCAAAGTAAAACACAAAATATGCTGTACATTTGCTTTGAATGTTGTGTATGTATACACACACACACACACACACACACACACACAATACACACACACACACACACACACACACACACACACACACACATAAACATCTGCGCCCCCCCATTCTCTTTTCCCCTCTGCTTCTTTACAGTAATGACTCACACACACACACACACACGCACACACACACACACACACACACACACACACACACACACACATAAACATCTGCGCCCCCCCATTCTCTTTTCCCCTCTGCTTCTTTACAGTAATGACTCACCAAATTGCAGTCTTTGCGATTACTGTATCATGTTTTGTCAAATTGTGATTATATTGGAAATGCAATTAATTGATCAGCCCAAGTTCTTATTCACACTGTACGTTTCGCAAGTGAACCATATACAGTATTGTACACCCGTCGACGCGTGTGATGATCGGTGTTCCCGTTGGGCAGGAATGACGAGGGCGCCACATAGGCCACAAACCCGGAAATGGAGGAAACCATGCGATTCCTGCGTGCTGCATTCTTGTTCTGTATATTTGTGCTGTTATTAGAGCTGCAAAATGATTTTGAGTGTCAAGAGCAGCTTATTCAATGCAGGTTTCGCAATGCTACATTTCGACATTTCGGAAGTGCATTGGCGACTGCGTGCAGTGACCAGCAGGAGCGTGTGTGCTCTGCTTGCCTTGATCCACAACGCGCTGGCAGCAGTGTGGCTAAACAAAAGTCGAAGGTATGACCAACATTCACTATGGGCTAATATTTACCACAATGCTGGGTTATGGTGACTAAGTCCAAAATTTCCATTTATCCTGTAAACGGTGCGGTATTCACACCGAATGCAAACTGCACCGAGCCATTTGAAAGCGCACCAAGATCACATCAAAAAGTGGCTCTTGGTCCAGTTGTTTGATCCACGCCAGGATTCGTTTGTGTGCATTTAAACCTGCATAAACCAGGGATGACAATGGCTAGAGATGAAAAAAAGCGGAAGGGGGCGTGGCCGGGACAGGGGCGTGGCCTGGACGGGGGCGTGGTCACTTACAAAAGTGGCACTAAACATGCTGAAGATGAAGTGTATTCAATTTGTACACGATTTGAAACTTGAACGGAAAAAATTCACAGGATTGTTCACTATTCTTTCAATTGAAAATTTGTGCAATTTTGCTTATGCATTCCTGGTGAGCACCAATGTGTAACTTCAAATTTGCTGCTCAAAATCAAAACTAAAAAAGGAAACACATTCCCTGCCATATTTAAGATTTGTTCATTACTTGTATTCAAGTGTTGTGTAAATGTGATAAAAAGCTGTTGATTCTTACCTCATACAGTGATAGTGAAGTCCCACACTGTTTACGATATATAGGTGATAGATTGATTATTTTTAGTTATCATACATTCGCTTATTATTAATGTTATTATTGTTATTTTGATATTGATTGATTATGCTCGCAAAGAAGAAAGCTTATGCCTGCAAAGATAAATTGATTATGCTTGCAAAGATGAACGCTTATGCCTGCAATCATTGACTATGCCTGCAATGAAGAACGCTTATGCTTCTAATAAAGATATATTAATCATTATATACTCAAGCTTCGTCGCGAGTCTCGATAACATTCGGCATTCGCGAGAAAGGGGTTTAGGAAGGCGAACACGGATTGGTTGTGATTTGCATTTGCCGATATAATGACCAATCACAACAAGTAAGACATCATACAAGTCCATTCGCAGGGCTGTTTACAATCGGAAGATGGAAAGACTGATCGGGAGAGCTCGTGAAAACTCGACGATATGGTACCTGACCCCCCCTAAAATTTTCTCAACGGATTTAGACGATTCACAAAAATTATCAATTTAAGAAATAAAACGGCGGATTTCCGCGTATCCGCGAAAAATTGCCATCCCTGATAAACAGACCAGCGCAGCTCGTTTAAAGTGAACTAAATAGAGCGGGTTTGAATACACCCTTCGTTATTGGATCTTTATATTTCCCGTTGAGTTGTTTCCCTCTGTGTTCTGATGCCATCTCGTTACCAATTGTAACGTAAAAGGGTTCTGCTGGACACTAATTGGCATGTGCATTAGTCAACAAACACTCAAACAGACAACGACTTTGTGAGCTCTGCGCAGCCATTGTCAAATGAAGATCATACGAAAAACAGTTAACTACTGACTAAACAAAGGAAGAAGAAGACAAGCAAGACTTTGAAGGCTATTTAACCCCTTGTGGATGTGAGCCCAGCAGGTTTGTGTCCTTTTGTTGAATCAATTGTTTTCATAACTTTTGTCTTTCATTTATCGTTTTGTTATGCCATTTGTATTTATGCCAGGGAATAAACTGGACTTTGTGTAGTGCTACATGCTACATCCTGAGGGAGCTACATACGGATCAATATTCTGATTTCTTGGACGTAGTATTTTAAATGTTCTGTAAAGCGCTTTGTTACAGCTGCAGAGGTTATGAAAGCTCTATATAAATAAAGCTGTATTGTATTGTATTCCCTTTTAGTATCGCTCCATCTAGTGGATCCATAATGCAACCGCAGCCATTATTGTAGCTTCTATTCTATCCACCTTATAATGCAATGCGCCCAATATATGAAAATAGTTTCAAAATATGCCATTCATTGAAGGTGCGCCTTATATTCCGGAGTGCCATATAGTGCTGAAAATACGGTAATCGTTGCAGCCCTTAAAATAATGTGAGATAAACCCTAAATGTAGTCCGGCAGAATTTATGGAAGAATGCAACTAATCTATAATGATCATTCACTTCAAAAAGCGGCCAAATCAACCCGGCTTACTTTTTTGACGCTCATCTGGGGCGTGACTTCATTTTCATCACTATCCTCATCTTCATCATCACTACAAAATAACAAAAGATAATAACATAAATCTTGAGACTGATGAACTTGCCCAATGAAATTATCATAAATAGGAAGGAAAAAAAACATACTCATCATCATCCTCCTCCTCCTCCTCCTCCTCTTCGCTGTCTTCGTCAGAGTCCATTTTTAGCTTTTTCTGCCACATGAATAAGAACAAGGAAACATAGATTAGAGTTTTGCACATCTTGGAATCTTTTTTGTGGATATTACAATTATTTACAAGAATTTGATTTGGAATGGCTCATTTGGCACCAATTAAATGTGGCAAAGCAAGTAAATTATAATACAAATTTCAAATAATATAGCAAGAAAAAAAGCCAAATATTTAGTTTTTTTTTTTTTTGAAATCACAAATGTAAAACCCATCAACATTAACAATGGCAGATATTTTGTGGGCAAACCATAGACTCTGTAATAGTGACATAAATGGGATGACACCGTGAGATAATCTCATCTCAAGTTACCACAAATTTTGTGATTTAGTGTTAGATTAGCGAGACACAAAAGTGTTATTCTGTTATATGAGTGCCAATTGGTGGATACACAGGTTAATAATACCTTCTGCCGTCTAGTGGAATTTATTGTTATGCCGGTCACCATATGTTGCTAGTAAATAAAGAAATACACTTCTCCCAGCACATCTCAGTGTTTGGGTTCAGTCAAACATTGGTATATGAGTCTATCGCTTTGTCAGTCTTAAAAGCTGCTCGATTTTCGTGAGCAGCCATTGAAAAAAAAAAAAGAAATGTGAGAGCTACCTTTGAAACCTTTTTCCCCAACATCTGGCTAGCTGGACGCTTCACAGGCGATGTGTTGTGTTCTTCCTCGCCATTGTCTGAATCTCTCACACCTTACAAAGCAAAATAAGTCAGTTTATACTCAGTTTTACATCTTCAACTATCCATCTATTTTCGATAGCTTCTGTATTCATCAGGTTTATCGGTGCGTTTGGGGCCGAACCCATCTGTCCCAAAAACACAATAAAAATCCACAATTTTTAAACTTTTAGTTTCGACAAATGCCGAGCATAATAGAGACACACTAGGTGTTTGTTTGAGCAAAAGACATGAAGTAACAACTCAATGTTGAATTTCATCACCTCAGTTTTATTCTTTTTAACTTTGCGGAGAACAGGCATGGATGGGTAAGTAGACATTTTCAAGTGGAGACATATTTTCAAAGACCAACCCAGAAACAAATAAAAAGTAATGTTTTCACATATCACTCACCACCATTATGTACGCTTCGACGAGCTGCCGTATTCCGACAGTAAAAACACAGGTGCCATAAAGTGTCATGGCGATTGTTATTTGAAGATGAATTAAGTTTTCGTTAACACACAGTTGTTGTCTGAGCATTATTGAATACAATAATCTGGCAATAAAGCTTCACATTGTGTCGCAACCCTTGCTCCTCATCGTTGATATGAATCGATTAAGCCCAGCAGCGATCGGGGTTAGCCTCAAATCGTGAGCTCTCAGCTAATGTCGGACTTGTCTGCTAGTTTTCTGGGCGACAGCACTGGAGTCAACCGTCAGAACAAAGCTGTGGGGTGGGGGATGGATCACAGAATTTGGCTATTTTGTTTTTTGCTTCAAACCCTTTGAAGTTGAGTTTAGAAGGTGGATGTTCAATACAGTCCATGCATTGAGAAATGTATTACGAAACAAGCAATATATTAAGAGCATATATTTTGCACAGATTTGAAGTGGCATTTTTGCTATACGTCTGGTTAGGAAGTGTGCGGCCCTATGTGCTCATAATAGCACTGATGAAAAATTGCAGACCCTCCAGCATTTAAATTGCCCATCCCTGGCCTAGTACAATGAAAAGGGCCAACGTGTGAATACTCACTGACAAAATGTTGTCCACTTATGTGTATCGGTCCGGAACCTGACAGGAGACGGAAAGTAACTGGCGGCGTGATCTCAAATCCACCTAAACTCATCTAGAAAATTAAGAAGGGATATTCATGTCAAATTTCTGTGATAGGATTTAGCGCACACGTACGCATGCAAGTACGGATTTTCGTGAGCAGCCATTGACACGCACACACACACATACACACACACACACACACACACAAACGCATGTAAAATGTAGATTTTCTTTTTCTTTGACTGATTTTGACTCACAGAAGGCAGCACAGATGGCTTCAGCACAACCAGCGGTACTTTGGTGGCCTTTCCGTCATAAGTGAGCGCCTCCAACTCCACCGTGTGGAACTTGTCCTCAGCCTCGGCTCCCAGGCAAGCCTGACACAGCGGCAGGGTACAGCATACAACACATATAAGTGTGTATAAACAAGATAGTCATGCTACTAAAACATTTGGGTTGAATTACGATTAGCGATTGTTGCATTTCTTTAGATACAGTGAACCCCTAACATGTTTGCAGTTTGTTATTCACCAATTTACATGTTGGTTTTTTTTTTTGCATCAAACCTATCCTCAAGTACATCTTTTGTGCTCTTTCTCCACTCCACTCCAAGATGCCACAAAATGGCCCCAAAGCCCTCACTAATAAAAACGTAGTAATTGGTGTTAGGGAAATACAATAGCCCTTGGCGACCATTCCTCATTGAAATGGAAATCATATGGAAAATTAACTACTCCGTTCCAGCTGTGAATCGTGTTTTTTTTTTTTTTTTAACAAATTAAACAGTTTGCACGATTTGATTAATGAATTGTGGTTCCTTCGGGTGTGCATGACTGGCCACTGGTTGGCAGTATAACACAGTCATGCTTGCCAATTTAGAACAGATTCGCAACTAATTTAATCGACTCAAAACTGCTGTAATTAAATACTACTTTCTTTTGCATAAGATTAATACAGGCTTGTGGCATATTGTCTGCATACATGTGTTACTGCACTGTTTGTGTTTGAATATCCCATCGTTGATGCATTATAACCACAACTAGCCCATCTGTGGCGTTTTTCAATGTCTGTTAATATTATGCTAGCGTTATGTTGAGTCACCCAGTCAGCTGGGATAACTCGTTCAGTGAATAAGATGGATGCATGGAAATCAATGTTTCCTTTAAAACGTAATAAATTTAATTTCCCTTGCAATATATAATAGTTGAGCTAACCACGATCAGATGACAAAACAAAAGATGGCAGATTCGCGCCAGTCTATGTAAATTGGCGCTGATTCATTTGTGTACGTGTGTGTATGTGTGCGTGTACGGGCTTCCAAGCAACGAATTTTGAACAAACGCTACAGTTGCTGTTGTTTATATTCCACCTTTCCACTGTTGTTTCGACTGGTTTTATGGACGCCTTACCGCTTTGAGAGACAGCTGTTGCTCCGTTTCATCGTCGTCGACATCAACTTTGTACTCCCGTTTGTCTGATTTGAGGGTACAACCTGGAGTAAGACAAGAGACATGTAAAAAATGCCACGTGCGTGCAAACTGCAAGTCGACACGACAGAGACGTGGAGAAATTTGAGGTACGATTATGTGCCATTTTATGACCTTTATTCCGCGGCTTGCTAACAAAAGATCCACCTGGGGCGGTCAAATGAGCCTGTTACACTAACAGCGTCGTTCAATTAAACGTATTATATACGTCAGGCAAAAATGCTAAATATTTTTTATTGTTGAATGCAAGAGCTCACCGAATAAATACATTTGAGGTCTGTTCATATCTGAAATATCGCCCTCCATATTTGTTGTTGTGTGTAATGGGGTTTTACTTCCGCAGAACGCCCTGACGGACGCCTGGCCGAGCCAATAGAAGAGGCAGGAGATACAGCGTGACGGCGCCAATAGTTTGAGCCAATAGAGTCGAAGTAGAGGCGGGACAAAGGGGATTGGATTTCTTCTGTGGGTGAACGCTAGAGAGAGCTGTCGTAAAGTTGATCGAGGATTCACCTGGAGTTATAGAGATGCCACCAGGAGGTCACGTATCGACTTCTGGCTCATATCTCAAAATCTTAACATACTTGATGGTTTTAAATGCTCCTGAAATTAAGTGCTGCTTGACGAGCCTGTACAGTATTGTGTTCATGTGTGTGACGTCACTGAAGGCCTAAGGTAATATGTAAACGTGTCTACTGGAAGCTTAACAACTCTCTATTACAACATAAAAAGGTTCAATCTGATATTGAATGCCTTCTTAAAAAGTTTTGGAACAAAGCAAAAGTTGACAATTCTTTTCGTAGCAACTGGGAACTATTTAAATTTGAGACTTGTCAGTACCTTAGGAAATATGGCAGTAATTTAGCTAAAGCGTGTCGATTAGAAGAAGAAATGATAGTCTCTAAAATAATCGACTTATCCCTAAAAAACCCTGATAACATGTCAGATGAAGACAGACTACTACTAAATTCAGAACAGGCTAAACTAAATGAAGTATATCTTAACAAAGCTAAGGGAGCGTTTGTAAGATCAAGGAAAAGATGGATCGAGGAAGGCGAACAAAATTCATCGTATTTCTTTTAATCTAGAAAAACACCATCGAAAAATCAAGTTGATACAGCAACTTAATGTTAATGGCATCATAACTGACGACCCAAAAAACATAGCCAATTTCTGCTTTAAATTTTACAGTAACCTTTATCGGTCCAACTACTGTGAACACTCGGCAACCTCTTTTCTAAATTCTATTAGCAATGTCACACAGATAACTCAAAGCGACAAAGACTTCTGTGATAGGAATATTAATTTAGAAGAAGTAATTTTTGCTATTGAACGCCTCAAAGCGAACAAATCCCCTGGAGTTGATGGCCTCACAGCAGAGTTTTATAAAACCTTCGTAAAAGACTTAGCTCCATTTCTCCTTGAAGTTTTTTTAGAAAGCATCGAGAAAGGTTGTCTTCCCCCTTCTTTAACACAGGGATTGATTACTTTAATACCAAAACCTAAACGAGATCATACCTTCATTGAAAACTGGAGACCCATTTCTCTATTAAATAACGACTATA